TTTTTGTAAATGTTTCCAATAACAAAAAGCTTAATGTTAGCAGGGTTACACACAATAAGCTTTTTTTTTAATTGGATTGCACAATGATAAAACTGATCAAGTAAATTCTTACATAGAAAACGACTTGAGAAACATTTCAGGAAGGTTTGGGTGACCCAGCTTCGTACAAATCAGGTCTTAATTTGAAGTAAAAGGACTCACTTTTTGCTGCACGTGGAGCTCAACTTTTAAGCGGAAGTAAACAAAAGTCACGTGACCCACGGTGTCCCGTTAACATTTGTTGTGTATCTGCTCCATTTCGGCTCCTCATCCGMTGCAAAACAAGCAGCTGTGCTAACGCGACAGCTGGAGCCAAAATGGCCGCTGAAGGAGACGAGTTTCCGCATCGCGTGACTTCCGCTGTGACATGCGCAGTAAAGTAGACGGCAGTCGTCTTGTTTTGGTTTCGGGTAATCAACGAAATCTCAGCGTCGCGTCAATTTCCAGCAGCAGAACRGTCGCCAAAACCCGGGATTTGGACTAAAACGGGACAACAGCGAGTATCATGGGTGCTGGTTCGAGCACCGAGGCAGAAAGAGAGCCCCTGCTCGGCCCGGCTTACGTGGGCACGAACCGCCAGCCCGTCAGCCGAGTGTACGGCAGAAGATGGCTGGTTCTGACCCTGTTTTCTCTACTGGGACTCATGCAGGGGATGGTGTGGAACTTCTGGGGTCCTATTGAGAACTCAGCTGTCCAGGCTTATGGATTCTCCAAGTCGGACATCGCGGTTCTGGTTCTGTGGGGCCCAGTGGGGTTCATTCCTTGGCTGCTGTTTATGTGGTTAATGGATAAAAAAGGCAAGTACCATGTCCTGTTTCACATACTTTTTCATCCCTTCCTTCTTCTGAACCAGTGGCGTCACTAGGCTTATTTTAGGGGGGCTGGAGCCCCCCTAAAATATTTTGATGTAAAAAATGTATTTTTTTTTTACAAAAATTCAATATGATGTGGTCAGAATAAGTTACAAATTAATATTTCATTATTAACTAAAATATATGATCATAAATCTGTCAGTTTCCCTTTAATTTATTATGTAAAATAGTTTTAATGTTTAGCAAAGGCAAAGGCTGGTTCACCCCAAAGATCCGGTGCCCCGGCACAAACAGAGCAAT